AAGGCAAAAAAAGTGTAAATTTAAGGATGTGCAAAAAGTGCAAATAAACGACGTCGTAAGCCAGCCACTTGGCGTAACAATTCCACAAAAACAGTGTATTGGGTAGTTTCGCCATGTGGATCACAGACCATAGTCTCAAGGACCTCAACAATCGCCATTGACAAAAGAGGAGACACGGACATAGGCTTTAATCTGTTGACCAGAATCGTAACATAACCATGTTGAGCAAACAAAACAGACTTGGTATGCATGATGGTTGCATGTTTTTCTCCTTTGGAATCTGATGCAGTACTCAGATCTGCCGATCCACCACCTACAAGAGATGCAATCAGGCCAGCAGCTTCAGCTGCTACACCTTCGGAACCATTCCTCAGTAACCCCATTATTCTTCCAACAGCAGCAGGAAAAGACATTACATGAGAAGCTGCATTCCTGGAGGACAATAGCCTACGCAAACAAGCAACAAAGCCAATGACAGTAGCTGCTGCTTTTGGAGAAGGTGGTGGCAAAGGAGGGGCCTCAGGTGGGAGATTTGGAGTAGATGGAAGCATTGTAATCAATGCCATCAAAGTCACCTCGGGGACTTCAATACTAGAAGGCACACCAGTATATGGTATGCAAGCATTGAACTCCCTTATTCTACGCCACAGTCTAGCTCTAGAACCAGGAAGTGAACCACCTTCTGCAACTGCATCTTTTGCTGCTGCAGCTAAATGTTTCAAATGCATAGAACAGGTTTCCATATCAGCAACTAGGTGTTCTGGTCCAAATATCAAACTCACCCTTCCACAAGGTGGATCAATGCGATGACCAGGCATAGTAAGCCTTGGTAAAACTGGAATTGCACATTGGCCCTGTAAACAGATGATAATGCCTCTTAAATCAACATATCTATGTACCAATAAAGTTTTGATATATAACTATAATTGAACAATTGATATAAGAAAGGTTTTTGGGAAAAATATTGATTTTTTGAAAATAACACATATACCTACTTCTGTTTGCAAAACATCACGAATGGCTGCAAGTAGATTATCACGGGATGTGCTTGCATACACCTAGATATGCGGCACAGAAGTTCAGTAATAATAATGAAGTGGGTAAAATATACAACGTAGAAGTATCATAAACTCACATGGACTGGGCATCCATCATTAAACTCGATAGCAAACATTTGGGGCTCCTCAGCAAACCGGACAATTGAACAAACTGCAGACAGGGGACGAACGATAACAGCCTGCACACATCTAAGAAGTATTCTCAGTATTTGCCAACGCTATCAGGCTCAAGAAATGCGAAGAGTTAAAAGCTATCTACAGTTCGCTTCAATCATCCAATCATATCTTTTTCATGTATTAACAATCCATTCACAATTTCTTTTTGACTGGAAGGAAAAGCGATATATGGTCAAGAATCAGAACTCCACACTCATTGAACCGCATAAAAATCTTGAAGATCTAGTGAACAAGCAAATATTTATATTAAACCTCCAAGAATGCCAAGAACAAAAACAATACTAACAGCAAAACAACAGTAAAGTGACATCTTTTAATTATATGCATGACCAATCATCTGTAAGAAAATTCAACAGCTTACTTCATAGTTATCTGGCCGTCGCTCGACAAGGGAGACCCTGGTAAGAATGAGCTGACGGGATAGAGCATCTCCATGCTCACCAAGCCCTCCTTTGGGGCCAATTCCCAAACTTAGTCCAGAAATATTCAAAGTACCATGAGCAGCAGATCGCAATCTAGTCACTAACCAACCCCCATAAGGGGTTTCTTCGGCTCCAACTGCTTCTTTAGCTACATATCAAGGTTTGGAAGAAAACATGGCAAACAAGTGAGAGACCAAAGAAGAGAAGAAAATGAAAAGAAAATTAGAAAGGCAAGAATCAGAAGTGCAAGGAGAGATAATGAATACCCCTTTGTGCCATATACTCTGATGCTGTTAGGGATTTCGAACTGTCCACTGACATGTATACCCCAACCATGGATTTTGCAGCTTTAGTCTACAGATCAAGTATAAAGCATCAAGCTAAATGTGCAATCTGGCATTAAAAGATATATATCTACAGGAATTATAAAGTTTCTCATGATGAAACAACATGGCAACAGTAAAAACTTCGGGACTAATGTTGAAGAATCTTTTTAGTACCAAACTTCCAAGAATAGCAGAATTTGTTGTCCCTGAAGCAGCTCGGAAAGCTTTTGACTTTCTCCCATACATGGGACAAAGAACAAACCCAGCAGAATCGGTGCTTTTGGCCCCATATGCATCAGAAAGAAGAATAACAGCAGGGGAATTCATGTCTCTAAAATCCAAGCACCAGTGTGGATCTCCAGATTTTAAATCGATGAGCTCCACCCCTATACAAGTGACCTTCAATTTCTGCAAAAATAAGACATCATAAGAAATAACACATGTATAGCCCACGCATTTGGTGACAGCATTTCGGATATTTTCCCTCGAGACAAGCGGCTTTCAGTTGATTCTAGCAATGGAAAGAATAGCCAAAAAAAATCAAGGCAAAAAAAGTGTAAATTTATAAGGCCTTATAAGCACATGAAATCCAATTTCATGGAGAACAAGATATATGCACTCAGTCACCATTACAATGGACAAAAAACACTAAAGGCTATGAAATGAATCAGGAATCAGGATTACGCCTCAAATCTGACCCCGGTTGAAAAAGGCAGAATCCACACATCTGGCACCAACACCAATCTTGAAAACAATTTAACTGCTAAAAACTAACACAGCTATGCACAAAAACCCTAGTCCGATAACGAAGCCCCAAAGGACTTCATGAATTATCACATACTAAATCCATAGCTCCATACACAACTTTACAAGAACAAAACAACATGATTTAATATTAGAGAAAACGAGATAAGAACTTACATAAGGAACCCATTCTGCGGTCCGTCTCTTAAGATGCAGAACTTGGTACTCGGCCACGGGTCCAACTCTGTGCCACCTCAACCGATGCAACTCGGTCAGAATACTTCCTCTGAACCGTGAAGAGAACTTCATGGCCTTGAACTTGCCCTTCCCATCTGTCCTAACGTTGATAGTAAATTCGCCACCAACACTGCTCGTATTCTCATCTCTTCCAAGGATAGGAGAAGCTCCATCGAAATCGCTCGCAATTTCATACGAATTGGTAACAGAGAGAGTGTTTGGATCCAATGTCACGATCCCAGCGCTTGATATGCAAAGTATCCTCTTGTAACGGCCACGCCATGAGTGTTTGACCACGAGGTACCTCGCGAGGTACTCGGGCTCTTCCACGGAAGCGACGGTGGAGGCGGGATTGGTTCGGGCGGTGGAGGAGGAGTCCATGATGGGCGGCGTGCGATCAGGTGCGACGCGGCTCACAGAATCGATGTCGTGAAGGGTGTTGGTTCGAGGGGCATTATTCACGAGATGTCGGAGAAAGAACCAGATTCCCACGCCTGTCTGATCGGCGACGGCGCCAGGATAATGGCGGGAATGAGACTGATTAGCCCCCAGTTCTTTCCTCAATCGCACAAACGCCCACTAGGGCCAGTTTCTCTCCTTCAAGTTCCCTATCCGATTCGAGCTAAAACCCTAATTTTTCATATGCAGGAAAACGGAAATCCCAGATCAGACAAGCTCGGATTAAGCCAACTCCGATCGCGTCGAACGCCGTTTGATGATAATTCGATCAACGATCTGCGAAAACCCTAAGTTATGAGGTAACAAATCGATCAGACCAAGCGAATGGATTCGATCTAAATTTTGCGGAATGGAGATACGATCATTCAGAGAGAGAGAGAAGACAGCTAAGAGAAGGAGGATGACTCTTTCGTTTGCACGGAACCTGACCACTTCGCGAGGGTTGAAGATGTAAGACAGAGTTCGAACAATGTCAATGTCCCCCTCGTTAAATCTTTTCGATTAAACTCGAGTTTTTGTGAAAAATGAAAATAAAAAAAAATAGAGATTTTTTTTTTTCAGGAGAAAAAAACAGAAATTTCGGAGTTCTTAATTTATATTTGGCATTATCTTATTATATGAGATCTAACCAATTCAATCTTTTCTTATCGTCGGTATTGGCATACGGTGCAACAAATGTAGTGTATATATATATATTTATATATTTATATATATATATATATATAATACATAAAAGTTTTCTTCTGTCAGAGGGGTTTTCGAAGAGAAGAGACTTGAGTGATATACTAGAAATAATTCTAATATTTGTAAGATAACGAACCTTTAAGATTTAAAAAAAAAACATCCAACGATTCTAAACCAAATTCGATTTTAATCTGATTTATCTGATCAGAACTGTATCGAATAAAAAAATACAGTATTTTTCTCGATACGAATCGTACAAAATTCGCAACGATATTAATTTTAGAAAAACCGAATTTTTTGCAACCGAACCGAACGAAAATTATAAAAACCCAAAAAATTATTAAAAATATCTAATTTTTTTAATAAAAACCGAAACCGAAATCGAACCGAACCGACTAAAATATAATAACCGATTGGTATCTATTTTTGTAAAATCGAAAGAACCGAACTATTCCCAATCCGAACCCGAATCGAATAACAAAACGTCCATCCCTTACAACTGAAAGGTAGATTTCGTTACAATATTTCATTCCAAAGTTTTGTCGTCAATCTTTAATTAGAATGTATATATATATATATATATATATATATAATTGTAATAGTTAAATTTGTTTATGTGATCCCTAATATGCCAACAAAATTGAAGATGCTAATGAGATAAATTTTTTTATTAGTTCATCATTAACGTGACCGTTCATTGTTAGTTATAACATTATCAAAGGAAAATATAACATTTTCGATAATTGAAGGCAAGGAATGAAAACTAAAGAGGATGAAAGAAAGGCTGCCATGAAAAGAATGATAAGGTTATAATGAAAGTAAACGAAAATTAAGTTCACAAAAAATAAAAAAATACAAATATAAAAAAAAAACTTTAAGAAAATAATGGTTCCGGTAAATCGAAATTACAAAAATACGTGATAGTACATAGCAGTTAGATTATAGTGTAGTTACCAATTTTCATATAATGGGAATATTAAAGGTATTACGTTATGTTTTATTATAGTATCAATTGTAAAAATAACATATTCAAGAAAATATTAATGATGAAAATTGGTAATTTTAATTTGATTTCTCAATTTAGAATATATGTTTATGTTATGTATTTTGAATTTGAATATCGTTTTGTATTTGATGGATTATATATTTTATTTGTGTTTGAGTTTTTAATTGATTCCTCAATTTTATTATTTTTATGTCGGATACGGATATTTGATATCCGAAATTGTAGATATCAGAAAACTAAGGATTGGATACAGATAACAAAATTTGATATTTATAAAGAGTGGATACGGATACAAATATCTGAAAAATTTTGAATATTCGATATTTATCCACCTGTATCGCTAAATAATAAGGTGACAAACAAATTGCTCGAAACATTTACCCATGATTTTATTTATTTATTTATTTATGGGTAATGAATAAATCATTAATACTGTGATATGAAAGGAAATCTAAGTGATATAAAAGGAAATTAGGGGGGAAAAGGAAAATAGAAAAAGTGATATGAAAGGCAAAATATGCCAAAAGCAATATATTCTTTCTTTAAGGAGGTCTTTATTAGTACCTTTTTTGTGGAATTCTTCAAAATCGGATTTCATTTTTTTATACAATGGAACAAATCCTCAAGAAGTGAAATTCGTCTTGAACGTTTTTAGGACAAACCTTTTTTTTTTTGCATCTCTTCACTTCTGTCTCTTCTTCTGCTTAGAACCCTTTGCCCCTCCACCACCGCCACCACACACAATAGAACATTCGATCCCACAGATGTTACTAAAACACGAAAACAAACCGCTGTTTCCTCCATCTGTATGTCTTCGGGTATGTTTCTTAACCGGTTCAATCGCCATTGGATGTTTCCCGGTTCGACCTCCACCACCGGTTATTTCATTCGGTTGATAATTCGATGTGGGTTTGTAGTTTGAGCTCTTCTTGTAATCCGAACTCGCTTGATAGCTCGAACCCGCGTCAAGAACCGGCGGTAAGTTCGCTTGCCACCTCTCTAGCTTCGACTGTAAACCCTCGACGCTTCGTTCACCGACACTTATCACAGTGCTTTCGACTTCTTTTCCGGTCATTGCTCTCTCTTTCGCGATCTGGGCCGCGACCACTGAAGCAGAAGGACCGAGCTCTGACTCGGTTATGACCACCGCTGGTCTTTTCCTCATCGGTGTTCCATATTCCACGTTGTTCTTTTTTGGGACATAGCTTATGTTCCTCGGCCTCATCGGTGTCCCATGAACCACGTGCTTTGGCTTGGAAGCTGTCATCGGTGTCTTGTTCGGAGGATGGTACACGACCATTTGAGAATCG